GTCTGCTTTGTATCATATAGTTCACCGGATAAGTGCACCGAAAAAATATTCTGCAACGATTTAAAATTTATCAAAAAAAAAAAACTTATAATTCAAAGTACAGATCAGTAGTACAACAATTATTTCGTCTTTTTTTTCGCAACAATTAATTCCCTTTTTTGTTTTGTTTGACTTCTGATAATAACAGCTTACGAAAAAGCAACTCTGAAACACGCTAGGCTAGTAGTACTGTAGCAATATTCCCAGACTTATTTGACTAATAGGGTGTGATTAATGGATTTTGATCATGGGTAGAAGCAAACAGCTGTGGTACTATTAGTGCTTAATTCTTTTGAAATCTTTGAAAATCGCGTAATGGTCGCCTGTTGAGGCTACAGAAAACCTTGAGACGTGTGATTTGGTAGTCTTTGGTGCTTTTAATATCCTTCAAAATTTAGGATTAAGTGCCATCGACAATGCCAATGTTTCTAAAACTCCTAAGAGTGCGCTTGCTTCCGCACTGTTGTATTAGATTTGGCCTCATTGTATTCGCAACTCATCATAACCCTCCTGCGCTCCTCTTTTCGTTTCTGTCACTGTCAGTTATTCCCTTTTATTATTTCGACTGACTTCCAGCGTAGCAGCTTACAATCTGCTCACTCAGTTAGAACTTAACAACTCCCATCATTTTCACACCTACTTCAGTCCCCCATTTTTATACGTTTTTTGCAGCTACGCTGTGCGGAAAACGCATACTGACAAGAGGTCGCCTGTGTGTGTGTGTGTGTGTGTGTGTGTGTGTATCTGTGTGTGTGTATCTGTGTGTGTGTGTGTATCTGTGTGTGTGTGTGTGTGTGTGTGTGTATCTGTGTGTGCTCAGGACCTCTGTACCGATTTTTCATCTCGAGACCCACAAAAGCTACTGGGCTGAAACTTTGAGAACTTAATCTACATGCACGTACGGGCCCTCGTCCCCAAAATGGGCGGTCTTACCCGCGTAGTAACCACGTAAGAGCCCGCCAAAGTTTTTTATGAGTAAGCTGCTAACTCAGGAACCAGAAATGCTTGGGGGCTGAAATTTTAAGGGGATGTTTCTGTCCAAGTGGTTATCAATGAGCTCAAACCCAGTCCCCCGGGTAAGCGAGGTACCCGCGTACCGGCTCGCCAAAATTTTTTCGGGTAATTTGATAACTCGGGGATCTGAGAAGCTAGAAACCTGAAATCTTAGGGTGATATTCGCCATCCATCTAAGTCTCATTCAATTTAAACACAGTCTTCGGGTATGTGCGGTATCTACGCACAGGCTCACCAAAGTTTTCTCCGGCAAGTTGCTAACTCAGAAACCTTAAAAGCCAGAAGACTGCAGTTTTAAGAGGATGTTCCATATCCAAGTAAGTCTCAACGAGCTCAAATCCAGACGTCGGGTATGCGTGGTACCAACGTGCGGGCCCGTGAAAGTTTTTTCGAGCAAGTTGCCCACTGGGCAGCCAAAAAAGCTAGAAAGCTGAAATTTTAAGGGAGTTGTTTCCTGACTGTTCTGGCGGTTAACCTTAATCTGTTTAGCTAGAAGCATTTGCCGAAAAAACCGATGGCGGTAGCGAAAAAGCTGCAGGGAACTATGCAAAAAACGCATCTTCGCACCGGCAGCACGTGCGTTGGCCAATTATTCTATTATCTTCAGGAAGCTGTTCATTCCTAGCGACGTCGATGATGATATTCCCGTAGCACAGATGATGAATTATGGATTTTCTTGATTCCAACTGGATTTTCACAGTACCGTATTGCGACTACTGATTAGCAATTATTGTTCGTTATCAGTAGGACAATCCGACAGCAGTCTTCATTTTCAACTCCAGCTCTTACACGTCAAATAACTGATTGCTCTCAGCCTATTCCTCAAAAAATCTTCGTAAAATAATAAAGGTCAGGAAAGAGTGACCTCTTTTTTTTTCAGATATGCTGAGGATACTAACTGACAGTCAGTGTACGGACCCCATGTAAGTGATGTTACTAGGATGCTCTCATACGCCAAGCACGGATGTGCCAAGGTTGCACACTTCTAGAAAGTGCCCACCGCTTGTTCGATGCATGTGCTGTAATCAATTACTTCTTGCTCCATGGCATTTATTAGCAGCTTTTTAAAAGTGGTTTGCGCGAAAAAACAAATAAAACTGGCTTACCGTAAGTCTTCATTCTCTCGTAATTCAAGACAAAACTAGTCTGCAGCAAAGAAGAAAATCAGGAAGACAAGTGATAAAATATAACAGACCTCGAAGAATGCTATTCCTTTGTCGACACTGTCACATGATGTATTTTCATCGAATTTATCACTTTTTAGCAAATCAATGTACTGGTCGATCATACGTTCCTCCTTCGCAATATCTGTTTGTAGTTGCGCCAAACGAGAAAGTCGCTCCACAGAGCACAGTCTAACGGCGCTAAAAATGTCAGTGATATTTTAACAAAGCAAAAGAGAAAGTTTTTGGAAAAATCCATACGAAATATTCAAAATTTTTTTGATACCTCGTATTGTAAATAAAAGAAAACATTCGACTGAGCAAGAAGAGGCGCAATTTTAACAACTACCATTACATGCGGGAATGGTTTTAACAACTACTGTATGTTACATATACCCATCAGAAAGCAACTTATTTGCAAGGGAGCCATCGGCGTCGTTGTTGGCGGATTGCTGTTCTTACCTCCGGGCCACACAATGGGAGCAAAATATCGCATCGGAGAGGAGAGCAGGAGGAGAGGGTTTAATACGTAACATCGTACATTTCAGAGAAAAATCAAGTTACCCATGTGGTGAAGATGAGTGAAAATCGAAAGGGCTGAATGGTACCAGGCAGCACAAAACGAACAACGGGAAAAACAACGGACAAACTGCAAAATCATTTAAACGCCTATGCTTAGTTACAAGCTATAAAGACACCTGTTGGCGGGTTTAGTATGCTGAGAAGCAACGCTACTCAAACGTTTAGAATGGATGTTTCGATTTCACTGGTAGAAAATCTCACTTTCCAAGGAAGATATGTGCTGATGCATCAGCGGAACGAAATCTCCATTAGTTGGCGCCTAAACAAACCAGGCAAACCAAAAACAGCACTGTCAATACTGCGATTACAATGTGCTACTCGCACCTGAGCTACATACGAGGCCTCAAAGACTAGTAAGAGATCTGAACGCGATTTTCGACTTTTGAAGGTTATGCGTATGCAGTGGGTTTAGAAGACAGGCACGATGGGACGTTAGCAGCGAATTCAGTGATTCAGTGATATCTGTTGGCACCAAAGTAAACTAAATGATCCTGCCAGAATTTGATCGAATACACTCTAATTTGAACAGAATTTTCAAAATTTTTCCTGAATTCCTGCAGATTACAATAGCTTTGACTCCATACCGAAATCCTCTCTTCATAGTTAAGACAATATTTATTCACTAAGAGTGAAATAACTGGAAAAGAGAATGCCAATAACGATACTTCCGCAAATTTGATTTAAGAAAAAAACAGAACAAGGAAAACTCTGTTGCAGTGCAGGCATTCACACATCGGTGCATCAATCCGACTACTGAGAAACGTACCCGAAGAACTTCCGCACAGCGCTTCCAAAAACACTCAGCAGGAAGGCGAATTTCGCGCAATGTGCCCACTGTTCG